GCAATTTTATAATTAGTTCGTGTGAGGCACGCGTTTTATATTTAGATGATTGCCATGTTTTGCAGGAGATCAACATAAATAGAGCATGAGTACTTATCAAACAGCAATTCGTGCAATCTATTTTTGATGCCATACTATTTGACCCACTTTCACCATCGGTGCCAGGCAGCAGCTTATTCCTAATTGGGCTTCCTCTCAGTTATTATTTATGAATATTCATGTTTGTGCCAAAACTCATTCAGTTTGCAATTAAACAAAAGCCATGAGACCAGTGGGCAGACGCCAGTTGGCCAAAAACAATTGCCAGACAGTTGGATTTAAGCTTTCCAAAATTGTTACTGACAAAGTGGACAAATGCCGAGAAAGTGTTAACTATGGTGTATAGATATTGTGGAAAGTCCTGAATAATGTATTAATCTAGATAAGAAAAATATGGATTAAATTGTATCTTAAAAGTTGAAGTTGAACCAATTTAAAAATCAGCTTAAGATAAGTTTTGAGAATACCAAAAGTGCTTTTACTTCTTTTTTGACAAACTCAACAAAATCCAAAGGTTATTTATTAAAAATCCTCCAAAATAATCTTCTAAATAAAAGTTAATTTTTCAATTTAATTGCCCATAAATTATCACCCCCTAATCAAGTCAAGCCAAGACTTTTCCAAAGAAGCCTCTACACTATAGTTAATACCACTAATTATCTTACTAATTTTCTAAATTTTATGCACTTGTTTTGGAATACTGACAACTAATAAAAAAAATCACAAAAATCAAATTTAATTCTCACCTCATTTTTCGCCTTCAACGGGTAGCGAGGGGGGGCTAAGGAAAATGGCGCTGGAGATGTCTCTCAATCTTCGTGTCCCCCTTGATTCTCCACCCACTCCATGTCGCCTGCTCTATATCAGCCAATGGAATATTTTTTCGGGGTCTCTAAATGTTTAAATTTCTAATTTGTGTCTCTGAACAGCAATATTTCCCCCCCTTTCGGCTGTTGACTGCAGCAATTTACGGCAACATGCCAAGATCATAAAGCATATTATGATGCTCATAAATTAAATCAAATAAAATATACGAAAAAGTATATTCAAAAATTTTATTTATGAATTTTACAAAAGAAAATCACTAAAGTCAAACAATATTTGAACTTTTTCTTTCTGCCCCAAATTATAGATTTTATGTCCTGACAAGAGTTTTAAGCGCTATCAAAATGTTGGAAAAATCACAAAAAAAAAAAAAAAATAAATATTGTAAATAAATTTATTCACACCTTAACTCTAAAGACGACGCCCACTTGGCGATTGGTTTATGGCTCTCACCTATATGGCCGAAACCAAAATGAAGTTGGCTTGCGTAATGCGCAGCAACAGCAACAGCAACGGCAATCAAGTGCGTTTCAATCGGAGTGAAAACTGGACAAAAGCCCCCATTGGCAGCTGCTTAGGGCCAAGAAAACAAAACAATTTCAGTACCAATCCAAAGACTTGCCAACCAATAACAAGTGAATAGAAAGAGGGAAAAATATATACATATATCTATATATATAAGTAAGTATCTTAAAGATACATATAGAGGTATTGAAGTGGAAGAGGGATGGCAGTAAACTAGTTGCATTGCCAGTCAATACGCTTTTAATTACGGCCCACACGAGAGCTGTAACTCAAAAGTTGCCCTAACAAAACTTTTCACCATTTACGGCAAAACTCAGACCTTGGCTAAAAAAAAAAATAGTCACTCAGACACAAGCCCGGCTTGGCATTGATGCCAATGTTTGTTTGTCTGTTAGTTTTGTTTGTTTTTTTAAGTTTTTTTTTAAAGTTTTTTCTCTCTGTCTTGTATCTGGGCGCGTGCCATGTGTCATCTGGCTTGCGACTTGCGAGTTGCGACTTGCGACTATCTAACGCCTCTGCCTCATCAGACGTCTCCCCAATTGACCCACGCACGTTCAGCGTTCTCAATGAGATAACACGGCTGAGGAAACCCACACATCTGTGAAATTGGCATATAGACAGATATAGATATCAATACAATGTTGGATATTCAGATAGGCAATGCCATCACGAACAGAATTTACCTGGAAAAAGGGTGAATAAATTACCTGATCAAGGGGATTTTTCAAGAACTTAATATTAAAATAAAGCTCAGTTTTTCTTATATTTTTGAAATTTAAAAAGGTTTCAAAAGTTTTCTCTTTAGTTAAAGAGCTTTGTAAGTCTTAAAAAATCAAAACATATATATCCAAGCATAAGTACATCCATTTATTGCTCAATTAATTGTAACAAATTCAAGTTTCTTTTATCTTTAAAGTCGAAGTGTACTTGCAACACCTTTCCCATTTAACATTAAAAGCAAGGAAAAAAGATTTCGCTTACTTAAGCTTTTCTACAATGCCTACCTCAACGCCAAAAAACATTAATTAGTTTGTTAAGGCCGCCAAAGAAAAAAAACAGCTAACAATGAATGTAAGAGCAAATCTGTTGAGGCATGTTTATTGGCGACCTGAACTTGTCCTGGGTGTGCTGGCACTGCTGATGTGCTACCAAATTGAGGAAAAGGTGCAGTGGCGCGCTACCAGTCATCACCTGTGCGAGCTCAGCTGGTCTTAAAATTAAAGAACCGCCCCCACTTACACATCCATACTGCCGAATGGCAACCAAGCATGTCCATCTTTGGATGAATGGCAATCAGACAGCCAGGCAGCAGGCAGCAAATAATTTACAATGGCCACAAAATTGTATTTTTAGATTGTGCAAACTATTTTCGTGGGTGTTTTGTCAGGGGCTGGGCACAGAAGCACCTCTTTCCCCCTTAAGAAAACAACAACAACAACAACAACGAACGTCATAAGAAAACTTATAGAAATTTTGTGAATAGATTTTTCTATATTTAGCGTAATGAGTTTGAATTTTCCTCGCTATTGACTTGATGAAAATCGCACAAGTTTTAATGGGCGTACGTTGGCCTACAGGTGGCCGACGGCCTCAACGCCTCCCTTTTCATCTCATTATTTTTCGCTATATAACCATCTCTTGTTCGAATCGTATCCCCTTATAGATTCCCTTGCGGAATCGGTCAGCATTATGTGAAGGTTAAAAATAATCGGGAGCGTATGCGATTTGTATTTATTTTGTTTGGCAAAAAACTTTCACAAATGAGGCAAAGTTCTATTTTTGGGTGGGGGCGCATATGAATGTATCTGTATCTGTATCTGTATACGTATCCCTTGTGTATCTGCCAGATATCTGACGTACTCAGTTGTTGTCTGGTGTTGAACTTTTAGCCGGCAAAAAAGAAAAGGAAAACAATTTCCCAGGTGTTTATTTTTAGGTCATGGCGTGTGCTCTAATCAGAAGACCAAAATTTATTCGGGTGAGATTGTGGCTTACCAGAGGTTTGCTAATGAAGCCAAATCTCTTTTGAAATGAAACTTAAAAGTTCAAACTGTGAAAAGTATTTGAATTTCCTTTCTATCTTCTCTAGAATTGAATTTTTGCACTATTTCCCGCTGCAATTTTGTTTATGTTTCCTACTAAAAACACAGCCGAATAAATGCCACATGCACATTGCACATCTGACGTGCAACCTTGTCCTTAGCACATGAAAACTGTTGTTTCATTTACAATGTGAATGTGAATGATAAACATATGAACCGAAATTCCAAATGCTGTCAATGGAATTTTGGGAAAAACAGACAGAAACTGAACAGCAAAACAGGGAAATTACTGGAGGAAATTTGGGATGATGATAAATTGAATGTTCGATTGGAATTTCAAATTGGAACTTTGTAATAATCAATATCTTGTTAAATATAAGGTTACTCGACATTCTGAAAAGATATTCTTAAAAAATGATTACCTTCAGCAGAGAAAATCTTATTTTGATTACTTCTTATCATGGCATATTTTCCATGGATCTATTTTTAATACACTTATAGTTTTTTCTGCTATATTTTATATCACTCTTTTAAGATCATATTTGAAATATTCACTCAGGCAGAAAAGTGCCTTTAACGCCAATCTCATAAATCAATCAACCTGAGAACTCTTTAATAATATTAACTTCCCACGAAAATCACTCAACAGAACTTAAGTTTATAACCCTCCCTAACCACTCAAGTTACGCATATAAATGATCCACATTTAATTTACTGCCTTAAACTTCTTTACAAAAAACCAAAGAATTTTCCATCCCTGACCTTTTCTATACAAAGAGACACCTTAACTGTGAAGTATTTCGGACAGCTACTTGCCAAAACACTTGCTGCCCCTCAACTATTTTCCAAACAATTTTCCACCCTGACCTTTCGTTAGGCAAGATAGGAAGAAAACAAAAGTATCTCTCAGATACAAATGCCAGACATTAGGCACCGAAAATCTATCCATAAATGGTCAAGTGAATCATTTGTTTAGAAATTCTGGTACATTTTTGGCGGCCGGCTCATGCAAACAAATGCGGATGGAGCTCGGTTGTTTACGTCGATGCAGAAATTGCCATGGCTAATGGGCCGCAATTTTCGCGCACACCGATGACGTATTTCGGGAAATCATAACATTTGCCAGCCGCTAAAAGTCTCACACACAACCAAACACACACACGCACACTCAATATATATATATATATATATATTATAAGGGGGGTACCTGTTGTATTATTTTTACCTCAAGCGAGACCAGAGAGAGAGCGAATTCCAATTCGAATTCGAAAAAGATTAAGAAAGAGAGTAGAAGATAGAGAGAGACAAGGCGAGAAACTCACCACGGCGGAAAGGCCTGGCAAACTGTTGATTGGCTGGAGTGCGCGTGCGCGATGAAAATGGCTGCAGTATAGGGAGGCACCAGACCTACGATTGGATCGGCAACGGGCCGCCAAACCGGCCGTTTATGCTATATGCCACCAATACATATATACGCATGTATATGTGCCATGGTGACGTCGATGACGAGCTTCGATGATTTCCCCGCCACAGAAACAGAGGGAGAGAGAGAGAGAGAGAGCGGGTTATTTTCCCATTCGATTTCGACTTTTTGAGGCGCGTGCCGCCCGAGCAGAGGGGCATTATGTTTGTGGATAGCCGCCGAGCTGGGGCACTACGTTCTGCATTGGTATGCGTGAGCGGGCAGCGATGTTGAGTTTCATTCATAAAAACCGAAAGAGGGCGCATCTCGTGCCTCAGTTGTGTTCGGACAAGCAAACGCGACGGTTGAAATAGAAGAAGCTAAAAGGCAAGCCCAGCGCAAGCTAGCAAAAGATATCAAGAAAATCACACAGCGAACATTACATATATCCAACGTGAAATATCTTATTGGAAAATCTCAAAAATAAATACAAAATAACAAAACGGTTTTGTGAAGTGAAAAATTATATAGCAGTGCCAAAAGAAAAACAAAAAAACAAAGAAAACCAAAAGCAAGAGATACTTGCTTATCAAACTAAAACTTAAAAGTAAAAGTGAAAGGATATTTGGGCAGTTGTGGCATGAATGAAAGCCAACAACAACAACAACAAAAGCAAGAAGAGCCACAGCCACAACCACAGCCGCATAAGATGATTACACGAGCAGTGGGCTTTATTGATTTTTTGGCCTCGCAGTGAGAACGAGAACGAAACTTTTCGTGAAACTGACAGTGAAAATACTTTAGACTCGAGTCTAAGAGCAAGCAAAAGCCGACAAGGCTACAAAAGCCAAAGGAAAATCCCTTTGAATTCTTCTGCAAGTGCCATTGCGATCCAGGTGGGTGTTAATAGTGATGTTAAAACAAACTATTTTCGTGATTTGTGTGTGTGTCATATTAAAAATTCATTTTAGTTTTTGAATAAAAATGAAAAATGTTGGCTGTGTTTTGGGTTGAATTATTGGTCAACAAATTAAATTTATAAGATTGGTAACAGAGCATAAATTCTAATGTGATTTATCTGTTCCTTTTCGAATTGGAAACTTAATGTTGTGTGAAGAACAATTTTTCGAGATTTCTTATTGGCATTGGATTGGCTTGACTTTTAGATAAATTTAAAGATTTAAAAAGGAAAAAACAAGAAATTATGAAAAATTGTTAATAAAAAAGAAATCCTTAGGAAACGTCGTCTCAAAAAATAATTCACTTTTCACATTCATTGGCAACCAAATACACTTTCCTGTTCTTTTAACCTACAAGCTTGTTGCCAGCCATAAACCTAAAAATATGTATATTTTACCAATCATATATAGAATCCCTTGCCTTCTCTAACCATTCAGTTTATATTATTTTTGCAGATTTAGTTGAAAGATATAAAAATTCATTTAACGCATAATAAAAATTTCTGCACGTTATTTAGATAGCACCTGGGAGCAGGCACAGCGAAGCGGGCAAAATTTACGACTGCAACTATGTATTCCTGAAATTTATGTTTAGCCTGGGGTAGAAGTGTATCTTTGCATTAGCCATTTGCAGTTTTTGTAATTAAATTATTGTCATACACTTAGCGCTCAATTAAAATAGCAATCTGCTCACTATTTTTCCTCATGTTTACAATTTAATGGCAAATTTTTGGTACGTCTGCATTCCCCAAAGACAGATCCCACAGTTTCGTAACGTCCACCCCCAAAAAACTTTTCCCGCTAATGCATTTTCTTAGTGACGGTTTTTAATGCCAGCCAAGCGTTCGAAATGGAAAAACAATTAGCAAAACGATTTACATGCAGCCTCCCATAACCAACGAAAGAAAATCTCTGCCGATCATTTATCAATTGTTTTTTTTTCTTCAAGCTTTTCCATCACTTTTCGTCAATTTTTCGTATTTAGAAAATTAATTATGAGATCAAAACAAAAGGTGCCGACTTGCGCTGTTGTGATGGGTCATACTAAAGTTCATTTAACACTTGCCAATGTGGCAACTTTGACATCGTGCGCCTCCCCCTACCCACAACTCCATTTGATTTTCCACAACTTTAAGTGACCAGAAAAGAAAAACAAAGCAAAGCCTGAAGTTGCCGTCGGTGAGTTGTTTTGGCTGCCAAGTCAAACAAGAAAATTTTCATTTAAGTGCCCACTAAAATGATTTCGAACAAAGAAGCAAAAAAAAAAAAAAAGAAAGAAAATCAGGAAAAAAAATCTTTATAAAAATATACATATTCGGCGGGGCATGGTGGTGTTGTTGTTGTTGTTGTTGTTGTCTGGCCCGCGGCTGTTTATTTTCATTAATTGTTCTCATGAGGAGGGAAAACAGGCAACCAGAGCTGTTGGCATGAAAAGTGTGACAAAGTGTTACGCATGCAAAAGACGGCGGCAAAAGATACATTTTCATGTTGTCCATGTTAACTTGTTGGACACTCCTGGTGAAGGGAGATGCAAGAGGTGGCTGGAAGAGGGGGTTCCTGCTCCCGCTGTGTGAATGATGGACTTTGTTGCCGCCCGGCCATTCCATCATCGTTTCGTTTTGGCTCCGTGTCGCATGCAACTTGCATGTTTTCTATCTATGTATCTGCAAGATACTTTTACTCCACACACACACTTGACTAATGATCGCCATCCCTTCTCCTTTAAACGTTTCTCCAATTTCTTTTCATATTAATAACTAAAGAAAACAAAAAAAGAAGTATCTGTAGAAAGACAAGAAACTTGTATTATTATTGTTATTATTAATTGAGATATTTTTTTTACCAAGGTTGGGAATGCAAATCTTTCGATATTTGAGTACAAGCCAAGATCTCCCGAATGAGAGACAACACAGACTTGTAGTTTATTTTTGGAGCCGTTAAGTAGCCAAAGGTCGCTTAGCATGTCTCACAAAATTAATCCTCAATGAGGTCTTCAATGCTGCCAATGAAAACAAATGGTCAAAACGTAGAGTTTGGGGGTCAAGCCATGGCCTATAGTATGAGCCCCTCCTCATATTGCCAAAGCAAACAAATTGGCGCCCATCTATCGGATTGTTAACACTCTCGACTCTCGGCTAAGTAAAAATAAAATAGAACCCCAAGAGTAACTTATGGAAATGGCTAGATCAGCGACAGCTGCAACCGGTTTGGCAAAACTTAATTAAAATAATATCAACATAACAATTTTTTTTCCATGCTCGGTCTTACCTCTTCCTCATCGAGCCGTTAAATGTATCTTTCGGATATCCATCTCACTCTGGCACACGGCCCACTGCCAATATTCATTCATGGCGAATAAAAAGAGATCTCGACTTGTCTGTCCTACTACACTAAAAACAAAATCAGGAAAAATGCTATGCAAAAATATGCAGAGTGAAAGAAGTCAGGGGATCCGGGCCGGAGACAAGATTTACAATATACATAAACGCAGACATTGGTTTGTCATAGTAAAGCTTGCCTAAGATGAACGTTTAGGTTAGGGGAAAAACTTCATAGTAGTAGCTAGTTGGATATTCCTCTAAAGATTCTGTTTAGAGGCAGTTTAGGCAGTTGCCACTGTAGACAAGCAAACAGCTTGCCGTGGCCGTTGTTGGTTTTTCTTGATTTTTTTTCTTCCTTTTTTTTTTATTTAAGGGAGTGTCAATTGTTAGCCAAGTTATTAAGAACCACAGGGGAAGACAAAGACCGGCCCAAGAAGTCCAAAGAGATGGAAGTGCCAGTTGGGCTCGATTCGATGCTCAAACAACCAGTTTTTGTCAGACGTTTTTGAGAGGTTCGAGAGGTATTGGATTTTATTTCGGCCGCCCGCGGATGATTCATGTGGCAAGAGGAAGGGAGAGAAGAAAAGATACAAATCTTTGATCGACTGTAAAAATTATTGACTCGAGCGCATAATTTTATGAATGAACATAACAGAGAAGGCACACAAAAGCCCAGCACGCGCGGTCCCAACACAAATGTATCTCATAGCCACACGTTGTAGGTATCTCTCACTGCTGCTGACTCTGTGGCCTACAGTTTTTTTTTTTTTTTTTTAATGTAATTTCACTCGCTCCGCCGTCTCGAGTGCACTTTGCCATGGAAATTATGCGTGAAATCTAATGTAAATAAAAAAGCAAAAGTGCCAAAAGCAGGACGCTCAAAATTTCGTTGCTGGCTTCTCCACATATATACTACATCCGACAGTCAACTACGCCGTGGCACGGTAGTTATTTTGGCGCATAGCTGCCTGTCAACACAAGTGCACTTGTAATGCAAATCAACGCGGTCAAGCCTTCGCCATGGAGTAAGATAAAAAAAAAAAAAAAAAAAAGGGGAAAAAATTGTAAAAAATAATAATAATAAAACAACACTTGAGAGCTTTGGAGATGACGCCACATCGAGCAGATTGAATGGCGGGGGAAGACCCAGACCCAAAACCAAAACCAAAACCAAAACTGAAAAACTCGTTGCAGATGGCAATCGCAATTTCGGTTAGTTTATCTGTGATAAACCAACAGGCAAAAACTACAAAATAATTAATAATAAGCCAAGTTTATGAGACATTTGTTTAGAAAAATTTAGCATCCGCTCGATTCGTTGATCAGAGACTAATTAAGACTTGCATAAGTTCGCTGCGTCAGTTGGGCAGTTGCGTAAGGTCACCGAATGACCCACTTCCCCCAAAGGGGGCTAAAGATGGTGACCCAAACTCAGGCCCAAAACCTGGACATCATGATGATGGGATCCATGGGAAAGACGGCTGTTCTACTTCTCAGGGCTGAGCCAAGTGCTTAATCGATCTTAATTTAATTGCCTGCGATCGTGGGCGCAGGAGGCGAAAGTCTGCGACGGTTTTTTTTTTTTCGTTTTTTTTCTCCAAAAGACAACAAATTAAATTGTTAAGTAATTTCACCACTTGATGACCCGTAAAGCATTCACTCACAGCGACTGGTTATGCAATCGAACAGCTGTCGTGGCAAATCAATTGAAAACCGAAGTGCGCGGCATTCGCATTATGATTTTGCATGAGTCCATCTGCGGTTACCAACTTTGATTACACTCGACATTTCGTCTTAAATTTTATGAAATATGTTATATATTTTCATATTCGGAATAAATGGTTGGGAATTATAAGCATATTGTTAGGGAACTTTGGATTTCCACAGGTCATACCATAACCAAATTCAGTTTTAAGATTACTTTTAACTTATAAGATACATCTTCTCAATTTCCCAAAAATCTAATTCGAAAATTTTCCCTTTTTTTTTTAGGCGGCGTAGCCCCTGGAACTCCATCAGCGGCCATGATCATGGAAGGGCTTGAAACCCTGGTGGCGCCAACCCATCACGCATTCCTGCTCACCGAGACGGCCGCGGCCGCTCACTTCAATGTGCTGAGCTTCGACACCTGTCTTTTTAAGACTAGCACGGCGGCCCAGAGCAGCGGGAGTCCATCGACTGCCACCTATCTGAGCCCGGCCCAATTTGGTGGCAATCACGGTGGTGCCAGCACTAGCAGCAACTCCCTGAACTCCTCCTCGGCGGCCTCCTCATCATCTTCATCCTCGTTGCTGCACTATACCACCGCGTCGGCAGCTGCCGCTGCAGCAGCCGCTGCCGCTGCCGCATCCGCTAATAATTCGGTGCTACGAGCTCGTAATCAAACGGCCACGCCAACTCAGGGCGGTAGTCCGGGACACGTGGCCGTGCAGCCGAGTGCCACCGCCAGTAGTGGACGCAGTTCGGCCTCGCATCTCAGCCTGTTGAACACCAGTGGTCAGCACAGTCCTGCTTCCTCGGCCGTCGAACAGGTGGAGGCCCACAAACAGCTGATCGAGGCGCTGCCGGGTGATCTCAACACTCCGGTGACCACGTCCAGCGATATACCTTCGTTCTTTGGTCCTACTACAGTGGTGGAACCACCGCCAATTACTGGTAAGTACTAGATACCGAAAAAGCTTAAATAAGTCCAAAAATATACAAAAAAAATGTAGGCTAACTTTTTCAGAAGTACGTACATAACTATATATAATTTAAAGCTATATATGTACTTACTCCTTGAACTATCATGATAGTTCAATATCATAATACACCCTATAAATCGTGGGATACAAAGGCCTCCAAACATTTATGGAGTTTTGCTTAGCTGCGCGCCATCGTCTGGGGAGAAACTCTCTGGCCGGTGAGGTTTCTTTATCTGCTGCTAATGGATGCAGCTTGCAGCTGCTGCCACATGCTGCAGTGGCAATGCCAGTTGCAGTCCGTAGTCGTATGGAGTCGGCAACTAATCCGTTGTCAGTCTTAAGTCTCAACATAAATCAGCCTCAGCGGAGAGCGAGCAGAAACTGTCGTTATGTTAGGCCATATCTTGACTTACTTCTGCTTTGGGCCACTCCAACATATCTTTGGCTTTAGCTTTGGCTTTGGCTTTGTCTTTCACCGGACGGACTTCCCTCAAGAAACCTTTTCTCCCTTGGGCTTGCTCCATTCGTCGAATCAACAAGTTCAAAATCCAAAATAAACATTCAAAAATCTTCAAGTACCAATTTTTTCCGAGGCATTTCTTTCTTTGCATATCTTCTGATTTGTTGATCTCGTTTTTAAATATTTCTTTTTCTTTTTCCTTTGTGTTTGTTTTTGTTTTTTTGTCTTAATAATATCATTTCGTATTATTAAGATATGGGTGGCCTCACATACGAGTATATACTTTTGGTCTTTGCTCACATAAATATAAATTAATAAAAATGCTGACATCCCGATGGCTATATCACCGTATAGACTTCATAAAATTTATGTCATAAAATTTTTATTTTTATTTTTTGCTCTCACTTTTCATTAATGTCAAATAAAAATTGAATTTTGCAATACTCACGACAGACACGACGCAGCGTTCTCATATTTCTAAGACTGCATAATAAAAATAATAAATAAAGAAACAACAACAAGAACAGCCAGCAACGTCGCTTAATTAATCTAAAGGCAACAACAACGGCGCATGTATTAAACATTTCCGTTCAGTGTCAATGTTTCGAGCGCAATTTTCTCACTAGAGGCTGCCTCAAGATACGCGGACATACCATATCGGTCTTGGACATATATATACATATATATATATATATATCTACAGACATATGGAGCTGCATTTGTAATTGAATTAAGGCAAAGCAAATAAAGTATACTAGATTTGCTGCTGCTATCAAAAACAATTGACTTTAATTGCTCTCTTTTTTTGTGTACCCCCCCAAAAGAATGACAACTTTTTCTTGAAGAGATCACAAAGATCCCATTGAAAATGCATAAAAACCAATGAGAGATGGTTGAGATTCTAAAATATGTTTTAGCTATAAAGTTAGTCAGAAGCCAAAAAAATGTCACTCATAAATTCTGGCCACAGCCCACGCAGCCAAGTCTTATATTTTTTTTCTACTTGGCCAAAAGCTAAGGCAGAGAAAGAGCTGCTAAAATCATAGACATGGGCAATTTTCAAATGAAAATCCATTAAAACAATTTGCATGACAATGATGGAGCGGCTTTTAATCGCCAAACTTGGCAAAGCTGACCATGTCTCACTCGTATTCGAGGGTCTTTGGATGAGTTGGTTTTTGGCTAAAAAGAGGATGGACAAAGGCTCCATATTGGCCAGAATGCGTCTCTGTTTTGGCCTGTCACAAAATGAAACATAATTTTCTTTATTTTTTGGTAGAGAGGGGGACATAATTTGCCCTGACAGCATTAATGGGGCTTGCAAATCTATATATATATATATATATATATGTGTATAGACAAACTAGAAACAATAGAAACGCTATCGCGAAATTTTCTATGAATCCCCCCATGCCTGACTCTTGCCTCTCTCTGCCCCTTGCCAAACCCTCAACTAAAACCAGATTGATGTCGCAGCACATTAGGCGCATTGCAACTCAATCAATATCCAGGCTAAAGCTCAAGTCCAAGCGGCATTAATGACAACAATCGTGAGCAGTAAAAATCAAGAAAAAGAAAAAAGGAGGGAAAAAAAAGAATGAGATTCCCTCGGCCTGGTAGCCAGCCGCGTAATTAGTCTTCTCGCCGACACTTTTGCCTGGCCCCCAAACTGCAGCAACAACTGCAACTGTCTTCTGCCGGCGGCTGCTTCTGCATTTTTCTGGACTTCTCGACACTGGCACGATGAGCGATGATGCGACCTCCCGTGTCGTTCGATTTCCGCGAAATCAAAGCGCGCCCAGCTGCAGTAGCCCAGTGCCAATGCCGTTCAAGCGAACTGTGATTGATATCGTTGCAACAGCAACATCAGCAGCAGCAGCAGCATCAGTAGCAGCAACAACTGCCACACCAGCAACAACTTTAGCCACACCAGCAATCAAGCCGTTCAGGGCGATGATTTACTTTCCTATAATCGTATAACCTAAAATTTTACTTAGTTAAGGAAGCTCAATGAAAAGTTTTTAAAATTATTTTTGGAAGATTTTTCATGAAGGATTTCTAGAACAAGTTTACAAATATTATTAGGAACCTCTTTAAGATCTTGTTTCATTATTGACCTGAAAAACTTAGCCTAGTTTTCTTCATACGAATAGTAATTCTTTAACTCTAAGACAGAGAAAATCTATCTTTAAAGGAAATTTTAAAGAAAAGTTTATAGGAAACGCTATGAAGTTAAAGCTCTTAATTTTCGTTTATTTAATGATAAGTTCTCAGTGAAAAAACTTCGAAGCTAACCAAAACTATCTTCTCTCTTGCCATTCCAGGATCTATTGAATCCGAGGATCTCTCCTTGGAACCCCAAGTGGTATCTGTGGCCAGTCCCGTCTTGTCCCATTGCAGTCCATTGAAAGAAGAGCGCAGTACTCCGCCGGCTTTGGCAATTGTTAAGGAAGAATCAAGTAATAATAGTTGTAATATGTACCCACAACACAACAACAACAACAACAACACAACATCATCATCAACAACATCAACAACAACAACCACCACCAAACAGACAACCAGCGAAAGCAACAACAATACCGAGGGCGTTGGCTCACCCGGCAATCACACACAGTCACACCAACAACAACAGCTGCATCACAACAACAACAACAACAACACAAGCAACTGCCACCACAGTCACCAACAACAGCAGCAGCAGCAACAACAACAACAACAACACATGAGCTCCCCGCAACATCAATACCAACAACACCAAATATTACACCAACAACAACAATTGCCAAATCATCATCATCATCATCATCACCATCAACATCATCACAGTCAGCATCTACAACTCCAACAACAACAACAACAACAACAGCAGCAACAACAACAACGGCAACACCAACAACAGCCGCTACACCAACAACAACAGCAATTGCAACACCAGCAGCAACAACAACAACAACACCACCAACAACAACAACACTACCAACAACATGCCATACAACAACAGCAAGCACAACAACAGGCTAGCAAAATCTCATATCGTGGCATTTTCACCACCACAGGCAACGCGATGAATGCAGCAGCCGCCGCCGCCGCCGCAGCAGCAGCAGCCCAGCAGCAACAGCAACAACAGCAGCAGCAGCAGCAGCATCAGCAACAGCAGCAACTTCCCTCCCCCCAACTGGGCGTTTTGGCCGGGCCAATGTCACCGCCCTCAAACAGTTTGGGCAACAGTTGGGGTCTTCCCAGTCCGGATAAGACCATGTTCCAGCCACCCTTGTTCAGCTTGCCTGCTCATTATGCCACCATGCAACAGCAGCAGCAGCAACAACAGCAGCAACAGCAAGCGGCAGGAGCTGCCCCATCGCCCTACGACGACGGACGTGCCGCAGCAGCAGCGGCAGCCCAGCATGCTGAACTCTTGGGTCTGACCATGGACTGTACCCCTTTGTTGCTGAAGCAACCGCCACCAACTTACGCCGGAGCCTCTGCCGGATTCCCGAGCCTAAGTGACCTGCACACCAGCCACGAGCAACAGTTGCAACAGCAGCAATATGTGCGATCGCAGCCGAAATATCAATGGCTAGACTCACCAGCGGACTATGCCCAGCAGCAACAGCAAGTGCAACAACAGGTGCAACAGCAGCAGCAGCAGCAACAACAAACATTGGTGCTACCAGGACCCACTTCATCGGCCAGCTCCAGCAATGCAGCCTTGGGTGTCTTGATACCCAAACAGGAGAGCTATCCCGATATGCAGCCAAGTTCAAATGGCACTGGCTACTCAGCTGGATCTGGAGGAAGTTCGGCGGCAGCCGCTGCCGCCGCTGCTGCAGCAGCAGCAGTCCAATTGGCGGAATATAGTCCATCCACCAGCAAGGGACATGAGATTCTGTCCCAAGTCTATCAACAGAGCAGTGTCCCCTTGAAACTGGTGCCAGTGAAGCCACGTAAATATCCCAATCGCCCCAGCAAGACGCCGGTGCATGAGCGACCCTACGCCTGTCCGGTGGAAAACTGCGATCGTAGATTTTCCCGCTCCGACGAGCTCACCCGCCACATACGCATCCATACGGGTCAGAAACCCTTCCAGTGTCGCATTTGCATGCGCAGCTTCAGTCGCAGCGATCACCTCACCACCCACATTCGCACCCACACCGGCGAAAAGCCCTTCAGCTGCGACATTTGTGGCAGGAAGTTTGCCCGATCCGATGAGAAGAAGCGGCATGCCAAGGTGCATTTGAAGCAGCGCATCAAGAAGGAAAAGGTACGCGGCGAACAGCAGCAGCAACAACAACAGCAGCAACAGCAACAACAGCAGCAACAGCAGCTGCAGCAGCAACAGGAGCAACATCATCTGAGCCTGCAGCAACATCAACAGTACCAGCAACATCACCTGCTGCACTCCGCCGATTTGGCCATCGTAACGTCGAGTGCGAGCATGTAGAGACTACAGAACTCGACATCCAGGATTGATGATAAGGCCAAGGCACCGGTACCCAAGGTTAGTCTGGCCTTAGCCCTGGATCTCGACGAGAGCGCCTTTCCCTTCGAGCTGACATCGGACTATGGAACCCTGTCGCCCCTCACCAGTCCCAGGCAGTATAATTACGTGTGGGTTGGCCAGGATTCCAGTCAGCCCTTCTTCTACAAGGACAGTCAGGAGAAGTTGGGATAAACCAAAAGAATCCAAGGGAAAATCACAATCGCTGCTGCTGAATATAATCATATATATACACATACTGAGTTGTAGTCGTTAAAAATCGGGGTTGTGCTATCAGCAAAATTCTATGCAAGACATTAAATCATAAAAGAAGATACAATATAGCCTAGATAATATCACAAGATCCAAGGTCAAGGAATCGGATAAATCGAGAAAAACAAAAAGCAAAACAGAGTTACTAACCAATACAAAGCCTAACTAAAGCAAATTGATGATTACTAATTATATTCGATGTAATTGAAAAAAGAAAATGGGAAAATATTTAACTTATGTCTCTAATACTGTGATCTCATGTGTAATAATTATTAATTTTAATTTCCTTAAATAACTGCAAATAACCAGAAATAATTTTAAAAATTATAATCCTTTCGCCTTTGCCTAGCTAATGTTCATTTTTTAAAAATGCTAACACACAAACACACACACACAACACTAATTTATTGCATTTTAAAATAATTATATATATATATATTATATATTATAATTATTAACTTATTGTCTTAAAGGTTTAGATTTAGGTTTTAACATACAGAAAACACAAAATTTGAACACACAAATCTTAGCATATCATTTTCTCCTCTAAGCATTATAAATTGCATAAGTTAAAAACAAAAAATTACTTTAAAAATCGAATAATGCAATTTTCGTGTGCTAATTATATGTAAAAAACAGAAAGAAAAGAAAGAACAAGAAAAAATTGTTTAACAAAAACGAAAACTTAAATTTGAAAAATGCCCCAGTGTACTTCCTTAATTGATTCGAAATCAAAAATGGCAAAAACGAAAATTCAAATTTTATATTATCTATTTTATTTTTAAATAATTATATGTTCTATCTACTGTAGAAAGGAATTTCTTTTTAGTTTAAGTTTAATTTTAAGTTGAATTAATTTTTATATTATTATTAGTTTAATTTACTTTTGAAAATATATAACGATTTTTTAAAAAACATATTTGTTTTGTGTTCTTTTTTTGGTTTTTGTTTCATTTTTCAGTTTGAAAAAATCTTAAGAAATATAAAAAACGAATGGTGCATGCTAAATAGATGGTTTCGGTTTGCAGGATTTGGCAATAAGGATCGAATAAGAAAATTGTTAAGCGTTTCGTAGGTGTTAGACAATAGAAATATTGAAAAAACGTTGAGTACAAGAAAAAGCTTTCACTTCTCGTTTAGAATCTTTCCCCAAAACTATTTCCCTTAGCTATATAGATTTTCGTATGGCTATGAATCACAAAGTATACCTATAAAATAAGTATAAATGAATTAAGATTAAACTTAAAGTTGAAGTTCAGCTTATTCTGAATGAGTCTGGCGCCTCAAAAACCACAGCCTAACGAACATGAAACGAAGTAGAAAATTAAAATGGAACTCTTGTGCCACTTGAAAAATATATACATAAATCTTTATAAAGATATATAAATGCAGAGAGCAACGATAGCTGAAATACGAATGTAACGAATGGTTTGAGAATGTTTTAAATTCGGATCTATTTTATAGCAAAAATAATGGTACACATATATTTTGCATAGCCGCTAAAATCAGACACAAATTAGCATTAGGAATGTTTAAACTAGCAGCTAGGTTAAAGGGCAGTGCCAATAAATAAGAATAAAAGAAGAAAACAAAACACTTTCCAAAAAAACAAGAATAATATTAATCTATATATTTGTATTGAAAGTTTGTCATTTCTTAGCTAGTGTAATGTTCGAAGTAAGTCACAAAGTATCCAGAAAATACAAATGAATGTGTGAAACTTATGTGCCATCAAGAAAATAATGAAACTTATAAAAACCGAAGAACACAAAAATATATATATTTAGTAAGAGAAGATTTTGGAATTTTAAACGTTGTGATTTATATTGTTCATTTGATGCATGGTTCAGTGTTAATAATTAAATCAATAACTATTATTCAGTCATTTATCCAGAACGTAACAAAAAAACAATGGGCAAAGCTTATATCCATAGGTGTACTTAATTGTGTAAATATGTAGATGTTGCTTATGGACAGTTTTTCTTCCATACATAAATTATACATATATATATACAAATATATATATATGAATGTGAAAATTCACTTGGATAAATGTATTTTATTGATGCATTCTTAGCTAGACAACAATTATTCGTAGCTAAGCAGAAAAATCACAATTCAACATGCTCAAATGGTGAAGCTTGCAAAAATGATTTTTTGTAGTTTTCGCATTGCAGTTCAAATTTAATTTGTTTGTGCGTTAAATACATAGTTATATAAGCGTTTCTTAATGTTTTTTGTGTGCACATTATGTACTTAATTACCATCTAAAAGAATATATATATACATTAAGAGACTCTCAATTCGTAAACTCTAATTTCCAAGACTGTCTTTGTGTTTAGATCGTTAAGTCTGTCAAATTGGTTCTATCATCCAAAAACTATATCAGTTTTTCTTATAAATTCAACATCTAATATATATATATATGTATATCCCTAAACATAAGTTGATATTTTATGTCAAAAAACTAAACTAAACAATATTCAAATTATATATTTAAAATACAAGAAAATATGCAAATTTGGCGAAAACACTTTTTGAACAAATTAAAGAAACGAAATTTTAAATTTAGTTAACCAAAAATGTTTTTTTTTTTTTGTAAATTTAAACCTATTATAATATCTCGTTCACGTTCTGGGGCGAATTGGATTCCGTTCTGGTCATATAAATTAGTTAGGCATTCGTTTCAATAAGCCATATCGTGGCCATATATAGCGAAATGCAGCCCCAATAAAAAGCGCAATAAAATTGAAAATAATAGCCAAAGCGGGGCAGAAGACGACGACACGGACGATATATGCCAGCACTCAAAACTAATGAAATGTTCCAAACTCCAAAAGCGATTGCAGCCACCAGCAAAAGTCGACTGACCAGAAAAGAAAGAAAAGCTCATTCGGTGTGTTGATTCCTCCTCTCCAGATCTGCTCCTGCTCCTGCTCCACCTGTTGCCACCGATCAGTGATCGTTGGTGGAATGGAGAAGGCCGGCTGGGCTGCCAGCAGCGACAGGCGCATGTCGGGCCTAAAATTCTTCAGCTTTTCTGGTTGCCAAAGACGAGCAGCCAATGTCGGGGACGCGGCAAAAGTTATGAGCGCAATTCTCTCGTAAAAATGCAAAAAGGAAAGCTTTTCGGAGGTAGCAAAAGATGAAGTGGAGATGCTCTTAAAAGGTCATGGAAAATATGATCAGGTATAAAATTTTGTTTTTTTTTTCAAAGGTCTTTTTAAAAATTCAAATAAATTTTCAAAAAGTTCATTTTTAAAGTCGTTTATCAACTTTTTCGTTTTTAGTAGGTTTTTTTATAATGTAGTCCAGGCTTGTGTATCATATTACAACAAGTTTTGTTCATTAATTCATGGAATATCAGCTTCTGAACAGAATTATAGGTTCTCCAGAAGTAATAAATTAGAAAATGTAGCGCCCTCTGTTTGTGATTTTTCTGATTAACATGCATGGAATATTTGAGGTGGCATTTTATATTCTTTCTCTTAGTTACACTTAAGATAGGCAACTATAACTTTGAATATTTAAAAAGGAATATAAAATATATCTACAAAACCATAAGTAAAGTCGATATTCCCCTTTCAACCAGAGCATCAAAATGCAAAATGCTTTCACGGCTGCTGCGGCTTCCACGTCTTTGGCCTCTCGACTGCCACAGTTAAGGTTCTGTGGCGGCAAACTCTGCCTTGACCGAAACTAGAAATTCTTGTCTGCACAGCAATCATCATTGAACGAGAGCAGCACCAGCACCAGCAGCAGCATCTGGAGAGGAAGGCTGGAGCTGGTGCTGGAGGTTCGCCTTGTGATTTGTGGGCTTGCGGTACAATTTGAGCCGCGAGCTGTGGCTACCAATGGCCAGTTGTTACCCGGGTTCCCAGTTTTTAGCTTATGACAGGCGCAAACAAAATTATTCTGAATATAGACGGCTGTAATCCCCATTCTCTTAACTCCAGTTTCTAGACGATGGTCAATCCTTGGCCAAGAGATGGAGCAGAAGCAGAAGCATCAGGTGATGAACTGTCGGCAGTCTGGGGAGGCACACACATGTGTAGTTGTCGTCTTAAGTGCGGCTATTTGACATGTTTAGGTGTTTAGATGGCATACCCGATATGCACCAAATTGATTTCGATTTGATAAGCTGCCACATTTCATCTTAGCCATTCGGTAGCTTCAATATATGGACACCAATATGGCTTATCGCTAGCTAACTTACCAAGAAGATACTTCAGATGAGAGAGTCATCTGGTGGTGATGGAGTTGGAGGTGGATATGGAAGTGGAAGTGGACCAGCTATCTGGCCAGCGAGGTGTCGCTGAACAGTCACTCAGCAGCAAAAGGCAAAAAAGCGACAACAACCGGCCGCAAACTATCACAAACCGGACTTTATTTTCTTTGAAGAAAAACCACAAAAAAGAAAAAGGACCAAAGGAATGTCATGCAGGCAATCTCTATACTGCCTCGGCTTAATATCTTTGCTTAACTGCTAATGAGTTGCCGTTAGTGATTTATTTCGTAAATAAATAGAATTGCCAGCAGTTAAGCCAAGTTCAACTTTGCATGTGGCATGCAACACACGACATCGACACGAGCTCTTGACACACTGATGGGTTTGGAAAAAAACACAAACAAAACTTGAATAACAATTGTAGACGGAAAGGCTTCTAGAAATTTGGAAAATTTGATATAGAAAAGGGCTAGGTAATTGTTTTTGTTGAATTGTTGATTTTTTTATTTAAATAATTTAATAATTTGTTTAAATTTAACCAGGAAACGAGAGTTAAGAACTACAAACTCCATTAAAACCAAACCAACTAGAACTTCTAATACCCACTGAGAGCCCGCATTCCCAGACTCTTGATCACAGGGCGTGCCCGTTAAAGATATGCCACCAACTTGAGGTTAGAGACCCTCTGTGGTCAGTAGTAGCTAGTGCTATTAATAAACCCAGCCATATCGCACTGTCTGCGACATTTGACTAATTGAAAAGCCCTGATATATTATGGTCAGATCAGCGAAAGTTGGCATAGCCAGGAGACCGACCACTAGCCTAGGAATAGCCACACACACACAGTTACTCTCCACAGCCACATCTGGCCTAATCAAAACTAATTCATCATGGTTGCTGCCGATGCATTAGCAGCAACATCTCTCGCTAAGGGCAACGGGATGGCACTGGAGGCCATCATCAGCCGGATACCTTGCTACCTGGCCCCAAAGTATTCCCCGGTTTTGCGTATCTATGGTCACATATTTCATCGTCGCCGTTGTCATCGGTCGTTGTCTCTTCCGCAACTCTAGAGAAGAAGAGCTCCAAGAGAGCTCCACCAAGATGCACAGAAGCTTTCCTGGCCATAAAGAAACTAGATCAATTTAATTTGTTTTCGGTTTTTTTTTTTTTTTTTTTTTTTCTTTTTTCTGTTTTGAGGCAAGTTCGAACGAGGTAGTCGACTGGGCTAGCGATCCACTTTGGAGACACTTTGCGGAAGCGTGCCACTTTGTCACAGAGCATTGTGCCGCGGGCGTTTTGCATTTGGCCAAAGGCGCCGCTGGACACTCGATACTGGACAAGTGGACTTGGAGGTAATTGGGGATGCTCTTAGCTAGTCTCTGAGAGATGAACAAAAGTAAATGGAAGTTTTTAGAGGAAAATGACTAACAATAAACTTACTTAGATTTTGGAAACTTTTTACATTTTTAATGCATTTTAGACACCAGAACTTGATTAAAATAATGTTAAATTTTCATGTTTAATAGCCAGTTTAAAATTTTCGTTCTAGATATTATGCCAATGCCAACTTCTTTAAGCTAGAAATCTTATTTACAGACCTTTAAAAACCTCAAAAAAGGAAACAGCTTTTAAAAAGCCAAGGCAACATCACTCTCCTCCTGACCACCGATCCGTTTGGAATTCCTAATTAATGCATTTGGTCGGGCCTTCGGGTACCGCCATGGCTGGCTTATCAGTGTTTGTAATTAGCGCATTTGCATTAAAAATAGCAATAATTTCCCATAAAAGAAATGCCCAACATTGCCGTACATATATATTAGGTGGATGCAACCTCTATTTTTCGCCTTGCCACTATAAAGCTGGCTGCTCCTTTGGGTAATTATTGCGAAGTGACAGGAAGTGGCACAGAATTAAAATCGAAGCATTAAATAGATAGCTGACATATCGCACAGTCGCGTCGCAGACATCAATTAAATTTGTCTATCGTCTCAGCCTCCTTCTGCTAACTGCCTTACAACGTCATCGGACCCCCTCCTCGACTTTTCCTTCCAGCGCCTCCTCCATCCCCACTCCCCCGGTAATTAACAATACCTGCCCGTTGATTTCCCAGAGCTAGAGATGGTCTAGTGGGTTTTTAGTAACTACATTGGCTAAACAGAGCACTTAGTTGGAGTTTTTTTAAGAGTGTTTACTTAGGAAATGAGGTGGGTAAAATAAAAATATTATCTTTGAGTACTTAGAAACCGCAAATATAATGATTGTTTTGATGCCGAATGCTAATAAAAATATTTGTGGAAATATGATAATGAAAACTAATTTCTTTCTTTACCAATTTTTTAAGATTTTCCCACTTACAGAGCCTACAAAAATCTAACAAAAATTTGCCTTTTTAAGAGGTCTTAACTAGAAATATATTTTTAAAATTAAAATCTTTACATTCACGCTGCTTTCCCTAAAAAATAATAACACATACTTTTTAAATTTATGACTTTACCAAATGATTGTCACGTGGAAATCGCTTGGCCATATCTTCATATATTCCAATTAATCTTAAATCTTGGCTCTGGCAATTATGAGCACTAATTAATGGTTTTTTAAACAAACTTGGCAACGCGTTCTGCTCACGTTTGAGCCAATTACCAAAGACCGCGACACGCCCCCAAACGCCCAAAGAGAAAAAATATAAAAAAAAACACACATGCAAGGCGTGCATTTATTGATTCACAATTAATGTTGATTATCGTGATTGCATAGACCAAACTCCCCAACCGATCGAATGACACGCCCCCAGAATTTACAGATACATAAAACCGAAGCTCATCTTCAGGTGTTTCCTCAACCCCTCAAAATATCTCAAAGACCATGATGATGATGATGAGTCTTTATTTTTGGCCATTCCCAGATCGCAAATTCAGTAGCCGTTTCGACTGCCTAATGATGGCCCCCATTGCCGAGGCCAATGAATTATTACGCTAACCACAAGCCATGTTAGCACAACTGGTCCAGAAGTCTATTATTATTTATGCGAAAGCCTGCCAACGGTTGATCGTTCAAAACCCCACAATCGAGTACACTGCGTTCCGCGATCCTCAATCTTCAATCTTCAATCTTCGATCCTCGATCGACGATCAACAGCCGCCGTTAACCGTACTACGCGGCCATCAATCATGAAATTATTGCCGCTCAATTTGGATTTGCATTCGAGTGAGAAGGAAAAAAGTAAGATCTTTGAAGGGTAATGGTATTGTTGTAATGGCACCTTTAGAAATAATGGAGAAATTTGGC